GAGGTCCCGCTCCCAGAGATGGTAGGTGGGGCTGGTCAGAGCGGACCCACTGGCTCAGGAGGGAGGCCCTATGTGTCTCCTCTGCACGCGAGCTCACTGTGTGAACTCTCAGGCATCAGGGCCAGGGTCTTGATACTGAATCTGGGTGTCTTCAGTACTTTGGTAAAATTGTAGACATGACTAAATGAATTGTGTAACATTTTATTTTTTTTAATTTGATTTCACGAGTCATGATATAGTCAGTAATCTCAAAGCATCAGTTTGGCTATATCTGCAACCCATGTACCAGTCCTGTCTGAGGAAGAAGTTCAATTGAAATATAAACAATAATACGTGGTTTTAAATTGGGTCATTTTAACACATCTGGCTCATTGAGTCATATATGTACTAACTCTTTGCTACGTCCAAGTTTCATGAATTTAGTTTGGGATTCGGAGTTCCTAAAACAAACTCATTCGAAAGCTGTAGCAACCATGGAAGGGGTAGACAAAGGTGACCGCCGTCACCACAGCCGCCCCCGCCACCCGGAGGCTTGGATGTGGGTGTTCACGTGATGGGCTCTGCAGCCTCGGGACCCGGGTCACTTGGAAATGCAGGGACGTTGCACCCGCCTCTGTAGGAAAAGTCCGTGGTTGTGTGCTTGCTGCCGGAGATAGACAGCAGCTGAGGGACCATGTGCTGGGCCCACACCGGGAGGGGGTCCCCACGGAGGATGTGAGCAGCCATGACGGTAAAAGGGAGTCTGCCGGAAGTCTGCAACTCAGAGTTTGTGAAGCTCAGTTTTTTTGAGAAAAACTTCCTTTAAGGGGCAGGGTCTTAGAGCCTCCATTCCCCGTCCTGCTCGTGGTCTCCACGCAGTGTCTAACCGACTGCCTCTCTCTTGTGTGGATTTAGTTATTCCCTAGTAGCTTGATCTCATTTTCAATTTGTTTACACTTCACAACTTCAAGGGTCAGAATGGACAGAAGAAGTACCAGATCAACCTCAAGAGTCACTCGGGCCCCATCCACGTGCTGCTGATAAATAAAGAGTCCAGTTCGTCTCAGCCCGTGGTTTTCCCTGTTCCCCCACCGGACGACCTCACGCAGCCCCCCTCTCAGCCTTCAACTCCCCAGACTCCGCACAAGCCCAGCCCCACCCCGCCGAGCCCTCCGGGGCCGCCCGCCTCTGAGAGGAGCCCCAGCCTCCAGCACATCCCGGCCACAGACTCGGCTTCAGGTGGGCCCAGAGCCTCCGTCTTAGGAAGGGGAGCTTTTCTGAATTTGTCTGTGGCCTAGTGAGTGTCACCTGATGCAGGAGGGAAATAGGAAGCTTAGTGTAATCAGCAAGAGTGACGCAGTGTGTGTGTCCAGCGCCAGGACAGGTTTATGAGAAACATCCTGTCTTTTTATATTTACTAGAGGCCTGGTGCACAAAATTCATGCACTTGGGGCGGGGGGGCGGGGGGGGGGGTCCCTCAGCCCGGCCTGCGCCCTCTCACAGTCCTGGGGTCCTCAGGGGATGTCTAACTGATGGCTTAGGCCCGCTCCCCAGGTGGAGTGGGCCTAAGCCAGCAGTTGGACATCCTTAGCCCTGCCACAGAGGCAGGAGAGGTTCCACCACCACTGCTGCGCTCACCAGCCGTGAGCCCAGCTGGCTGAGCGGTGCTCTCCGTGTGGGAGTGCACTGACCACCAGGGGGCAGCTCCTGCATTGAGTGTCTGCCCCCTGGTGGTCAGTGCGCATCATAGGGACTGGTCGTTCCACTGTTCCATCTGCATATTAGCCTTTTATTATATAGGATTATTATTAGTTTGGTATAATTATAATTGTATTCTCATATAAGTATTTTAATTATGTTATTATGGATTTGTTGATTAAGATATATTTACACACACAATCTGATTGTATATCCAGAAACACACAGTGGTGGGTGCAGTGTGGCTGAGACTGTATGGAGCTCTGCAGGCTCAGCAGTGTTTAACGGGCCTGAAGTGCAGTTTTCTGTAGGATTCCATTGTGCCTCTGCTGCCATGTGCACATCTGCTCTTATCCGAGGTTTGCTGTGTAGAGTGATCTCCCGGGAGCTCGGGACAGGTTGCTGCCATCCCTGGCTGCCTTTGCGCAGTCGGGCTGTGGAGCACAGAGACCCCCTTGTCCTCGGTCCTCACTGCAGTGCCTGTGTCTGGAATGGGGAGTGGCACAGGGGTGACGGTCACGTCTGTCTAAACGCATTGCTGAGGTCACTCAAGCTGGTCTCATTTGTACCTTCAGGACATGTCCCAGGACAGGGCGGGAGTCAGCTGTCCAGGTTGCTCTCGGTGGTGCCTGGTGAGGCTGTAAAGAAAGGTCTGACCACACACAGAGTCTCAGGGTCCTGTCCTGTCCCCTGCGTCCTGTGCTCCCCGTATTTCTACCATTAGGCGTGGGAATGCCTGTCCCCCGAGTATAACCTAATGGGGGATAAAGCAGGCCAGCTTCGTAATGTTCACCTCAGACCTAGTCCACCGGCTTCACGAAGCATTCAAAAAAGTGTGAGCAGTTAGTTTCTGTGTATGATTTGTATCAGGAAATAGTAAGAAAGGCAGTTTAGGGCCGGGCTGACGAGGGCCATGACAGACTGAGTGAGGACTAGCGGTAGCCAGTGAAGTTCTGTGGCTGGGAGTGGCTGTCGGGTACCACACAGGCGCTGAGTGCCAGGACGTGACCCGGAGAAGATGCCTGGGGAACAGAGGGCAGGGCCGTTGTGCAGCTGTGAGAACATTGAGGCCACAGGAGGGTGATGGCAGTGGGTGCATGAGAGAAAGAAAGAACAAGCAAGAAGTATTGTTTAGGCAAAATAAGTCCCGTGTGCCGTGTGGGATCTGGAGATGAGGCTGACGGAGGAACGGAAAGTGATGGTGCTACACTGGCGAAAGCCCAGGAGTCCATTGTGGGGGAGGCGGCGGCTTTGGGGCTCCTTGAGTTTGGAAGTTTACCAGTGAAACTTGTAGGTGCGAATGGAAACATCGTTCCCTGCTAGTCCTTCACTTGTACTGAGTGGGGGCTGATGCGGACTCCCCGTGTTTAGCGTGCTGTGCCCAAGGAGAGCCAGCTGCCCCCGCTGCAGAGATGTCACAAGGCACGATCACGTTTCTCTTCCCGCAGGATCTGTTACTGGAGATCTCATTGATGAGCTGATGTCTTCTGATGGTAAGCCATTTAAAACTGTACAGTGGGGCCTTGACTTACGAGTGTCCCGACTAACGAGTTTTTCGAGATACAAGCCGTCTCTCGGCCGATTTTTTGCTTTGAGTTGCGAGCTAAAATTCGGGTTACGAGCCAGCTTCAGATACCCCACCGCTAGTTGGCGCAGCGAACGTCACAGTGAACGCCACATCAGCCCAGCATCACGTCTCACTCGTTCACAATTGATTTGACATACGAGTAATTTGAGTTACGAGCTCCGTCACGGAATGAATTAAACTTGTAAGTCAAGGCCCCACTGTACTGCCTCCCTCAGGGGCAGACTTGCTTCCCTGGAAGTTACAGGTGGCACAGGATTGATTGATTAGGTACTTAGTGCCTTATGGCGAGTTGTGAAAATTCTCCTTCAATAACACTAGTGCGAAGATCCTGGGCGTCCGGCCCCGTGGGTCTGTGCCTGCTTCTCAAGGAGACTCTCAGCAGGGGACACTTGCCTGCCTGAGTAGACTTGCTAGGTGCTGGCACACGAGTCCTTTACTCCACAAGAATCTGGCCAAGGCCAGGAAAGCTGTTGGTCACCCATACACTAACCTGAAGCCACCACACTGCTCCTGACCTGGCCATGTCATCATCTAAACTGGAGTCTGTCACTGAACAACCCAATATTGTGATCACTTCAGCGGTAACTGTCAGCCTCACCTTCCCTTAAATTCTGGGCCTCAAGTCTCGGCTCCTGGCCGTGCAGCCAAGACCTGGGAAGGCAGAGCTGCACTCAGCAATGGAACCATAACCACCTTAGATTCCTTCAACATTTCAGAAAAAAGACAACAGTAACACATTTATTAGCCTAAGACTAGTTCTGTTCTCAAAGTAGAGAAAATACTGTTTTTAAATACCCATGTTTTTAAATGATGTATTTTAGTGACAAGTTCAGCCAATAGTTACTTAAGCCTATTTCTCAAGCTTATACCTATAGTCAATGCACAAATTATCTTTAAACAAGAATCTTTCAAATACACAGTAAACACAAGTCATTAACTTAATCACTGCTTTTCCACTTTTTCTCGTAGAACACAGAAACGGTAGTTTAACGGATGGGCCTTGGAGTGTGTGGAGCCGCACTAACCTTGAGCCTATGCTTTGCTTGCAGTGTTTCCTCTCCTGCGGCTCTCCCCCACCCCCGCGGACGACTACAACTTTAACTTAGATGACAGTGAAGGAGTGTGTGACCTGTTTGATGTCCAGATACTAAATTATTAGACTCCTTGGACACCTGGGACAGTATCTACCTCTAACTGAAACCTTGTAGACTTGCTAATAACCTGAGTATTTATAATGAACGTAACACCTGTTTAGGGCGCTGATTCTGACGTCTTCTTCCCTAAGACTTGCTCTCTGACGTCACAAAACATCACCTGTGAAAACAAAGGGCTCCGAAGCCCCTAGTGACTGCGTTCTGGAACTTCAGCTTCCCTTCCAGTTCTAACTCCTGTTTTTACTCTTGTGAAAGGAAAGTTAAAAGTAGGTTAAGGTCATCAAAAACCAAAATGGCCAAGGGCTCATCACCTATTTGTGTTCCGCTTTTACTGCCGCGAAACTGTCTGTATTTCTGCGCTCCAATCCTGACAGACAGTCACTGCCACGTATGGAGTGAAGGTGTCCGAGAGGCTACGGTCACTTCCCGTGAAGTCTGTGAAGTGCCTTTGTTCTAGCACTTTAAGTTCACCACGTTTGCTGACTCCTGACATTCCACTTTCCTGGATTATAGGAGAGGGCTGTTTATGTAGTGGTTTTTAAAATGTGCCAATGCCTGTACATTAACAAGATTTTTAAAAATAAAGTTGTATAAAGCATTTAATTTATTGGTCTTTGGGGGAATCTGATGCATCACCAGGTGCATTACAACTGAGCCATTAATCTCGTAGCTTCGTCAACATTCACTGGTCTGTCTTCCTGACTCGGCTGAAGAGCCTGGAGGGAGGAAAGTTTAGAGTGTAAACATTTAGGTAACAATAGTGCAAAAAATTACATATGTCATCTATTACCCAATTTAATTTCTACTCATACCTTTGGAAACAAATTCTCATGTTCATAATGTTCACATATACATATAGCACAGCCATGTACACTAGAGAGCCGAATACTAAAGATCACATTCGACTTACAGGCTGTGGAAATTTGGGGGTTAATTTATTAGCCTCCAGTTTATTAAAAGGAAATGCTCTACGCACCAGCTGTTTCTGCAGAGGTTCGAGGGAAAGGCCTTGAGAGAAGTGAGCAAGCTCCTTCTGTATGTTCACAAAAGCTTCATTCATTCTTTTAATTTTTTCAACGTTCTTAATGATTATCTTTTTAAAAAAGAAAAAGAACATTAATCCATGAGCTTATAACCCTTAAGGATAAAATACACTCAACCTTAATTTAACCGTGTTAAGCCTAAATGCTTAACAAGACAATTGTACCAGTTTCTGGGCAAGCTTCACACTAAAACTCTCAGTCTTATTGGGGAATACTGGGCAAAGGACAAAGGTGCTGTTTCTTAAGAAGGACAAGTATGTGGAACACCCCCTATCTTGACTTCACCTGGGTAAGCAGGCCGGAGTGTGAACCAGACGGCCCCGCTATTATCTCTGGCCGATGAGGCGGAAGCCCGCATCCCATGCTCCTGTCCTGCTAACCGTGCCTCAGCCTCCCTCACCTTCTTGCCCTGATGGAGGTCCTGGGCAGTCAGGACAGCCACCCGGCAGCCCCCATCTTGAATCTGAAAGTGGGGTGGGGGTTCTATTCTTCCTGTAAACCTTACGCCCTGGGACACCCTGGCCCCACCCTCCCCACTGTCACCTGCCAACACCAGGACTACTTGCTCCTTCACGAAAGATGTCCAACCTCAGCTCACTAAGCTCCAGGCCTGGCGTCACTGCCTGTGGCTTCAACAACAATCTAATGCTGTGGCCTGTCGTCTCCAGGTTCTCATCTGTCCACGTACAGTTCAGTCAGGACTCGTACATCTCACTGCAGCCTCCGCGTCCATTATTTCACGTTCCTGCACTCCCTCAGCGAGCACAGACCAGACCATTCTCTCCTCAACCACTGAACTTTCCATGTCTCTCCCGTGTCATACTTGCCTGCAAGCCAGTTACACTCACTGATCAGACTGCTGAGCCTAAAACCAAAACCCTAGAAAATCGTAACCGGGTGAGTGGCTTCATTTTAAATCCATGGCCACAAACTTCTGACCATTTGCAGGGTGCCTGGCCACCCACTGCCTCCTCTGGTAAGTCAGACCATTTTCTGAGAAACCTACACGACCAGGCTGCCAACCCACACACCTCCCTCTCAGACACTTTCTCCAGCACAGGAGGCTCCAGCGCTTCCACCTGAGGAAGTCACATCTGGGCCTCGGCAGCTCTCTGCCTGGGACACCCTGCTCCTGGCGCCTCCCCGCTCTGCGCATCACTAGCTCCTGCTCACTCAGGTCTTGGCCCCTGTCAACTGAAGACGATTCCCTGTGAAACTGTCGCTCCAAACCCGTCATATCACCTGCTTATTTCCTTTACAGCATTTCCAAAGTCATAAAATCGCTTGATCAAAAAGCTGACCTCAACTAGTTCATGAAAACTGAAAAATAAAGTTACATTTCTGTGCACTATCATGATATTTACTAAGTCCCAGAGAGCTGATGCCACATATTACTTCAACTTGAAAACATTTTCTGAGGACTCTGCTATATATATCTTGATGAATAAATTTCCTATTTCCCAAATACTTTGAAGTAAAAACAAAAAAGATAAACGCCTTTTCAAATTTTGCATTTTAAGAAACACAGTACTGTATTTTCACTTGACAGGTTCTTGAATATGCCTGAGGTCAGAGAAGGACTGGTTCTGACACGGGGATTTCTGAGATCCGATAAAGCTATCAAACTGTTACTTGGAGTCTCAAAGGTTTGCAGTTAATTTTGTTCGTTTTGTACATTTGGATTCAAGAAAGGGATGTTATTCTCCATTTTTTAAAACAAATGTTTAAAATCTGTCTGCCCTTGTAGGAAGGCTAAGAACCTGTTTTAAATAAAAGCATTCGGTTTCTCGCTAGCTTTACCTTCATGCTTTGTTTGTAAACCAGGAAGCTGGGGTGCTTAATACTCACCTTCTTAAGATTCGTGGTAACTGGTTTTGCTTTACTCTTCCCCTTAAAGTGTTTTTGGCTGGCTACGTGAAACACATTCCTGGGCTTCTGCCCTTTCCATTTGTTCTTGGCCATTGTCTAGAAAAGGAAGAAAAGGAGCTCAATTAAGCTGCCCACATTTATGACTGTAAATCAATTTAAGTTTTTAGAGTGGAGGTACCAATTAAATCTAAGAAATTCCACCTTAATGCTGGTTATTTTTTAAGTTGCTGCATGTATTAAATTACTTCCATGTCTTCTGCCACCTTTAGATTTTCTGCTGTTGGGAGTCCAGAGTAGGTATCTAATTCTTTTCTGCATTTACAGCGCCTGGCCCATAGAAGGCGCCACATTCACTTCTGCTGGTTGAATCAACATTAATATCAACACAGTTGCTTTTTCAGCTTCCTGAAGCAGCCCACCATGTTAACCATCACCACCCATCCTGCTGGTTCACATGCTACTGTACCACTCTGGTGCCCATCACATCCTAGGACTGACTCCTTCCTTCTTTTCATTCCTACTTACTAGCCCCATGTCCTCTCCTGTGTGCCCCTCCTCAAAATCAGAACTTAATCCTGTACTTCCTACCCCCGCCTCCCTTAAATTACTTTCACGCCTGTTAGGTCACCTCTATAGATGACTCTTGCCTTGAAACTTCAGGTATTCTTTGTTCTATAGCTAAACACGAACTAAGCCTGTAAGTTCTACCTTAGACACATCTGTCCAATCTCGTTAACAATGCATGTGAGGAACAGTTTTTAAAATGTTAATAGTTAAGACTTACTGAGCTTTGACTATGTGAACAAGTACTATGCCTTCGTTTCATGTACTTTAATTTCCTCCTCACAACACTGTGGAAGGCCTATTTATCCCCATTTTAAAGATTTAAAAAAACCTAATGCAAAGGGAAGTGAATGTGCCCACGGTCACAGCGGTAGTAATCAGGGAATGCCACGCAGAGCTAGTGTGGGACATGGCCGCTCCTGTCCAGGGTGGGCAAAAGTAGGCTTACAGTTGTGAATACATGGAAGTTTGTTCTTGTATTATTATTTATTAACTAGAGGCCCGGTGCACAAAATCGTGCATCAGTGGGGTTCCCTCGGCCTGGCCTGTGGGATCAGGCCAAAACCAGCTCTCTGACATCCCTGAGGGGTCCTGGATTGTGAGAGGGTGCAAGCCAGGTCGAGGGACCCCACTGGTGCACGATTGGGCCAGGGAGGGATGCAGGAGGTTGGCCAGCCAGGGAAGGACCAAAGGGGAGCTCCAAGGCACGTCCAGCCCGTCTCGCTCAGTCCTGATCACCACATCATAGCGACTGGTCAACCGACCAGTAGACTGTCTACCCCCTGGTGGTCAGTGCACATCATAGCGACTGGTCAACCGACCAGTAGACTGTCTACCCCCTGGTGGTTAGTACACATCATAGAGTGGCCTTAGCATATCATTAGCATATTATGCTTTGATTGTTTGAACAGCTGACTGAACACTTAGCATATTAGGCTTTTATTATATAGGACTAGAGGCCCAATGCATGAAAATTCATGTAAGAGTAGGCCTTCTTTCCTCTGGCTGACAGCACCAGCTTCCCTCTGGCACCTGGGACCTGGGCGACTTCCCTCCAACCCTGGCTTCATCAGGAAGGATGTCCGGAATGATATCTGGAAGACATCCAGTCTAATTAGCATATTACCCTTTTATAATTATAGGTTATTGTATTACTTTCCATACAGACAACTGTAAACCTACTTTTGCCTGACCCTGCATAAATAAAAATGCAATACAAAAATATGATGTAATATTTACTGGTTACTACTACAGTCCCTAGATTTGGTTAGATCATGGGCTTGGGCAAACAATACCAAATCAGGTCAGACACCTGTCTTTGTAAATAAAGTTTTATTAGAACAGAGCTATGTCCATTCAATTATGTATTGTCTCATGGGTGGGTGCTTTCCTGCTATGACTGTGGTCCACAAAGCCTAAAGTATTTACTATCTGGCCCTTTACAGAAAGACTGTCCACCCCCACACGAGCCACGTGCACCCCAGTCTACCCTGAATAGCCCATGGAACGAAGCTGCTAATGCAAAAAACCTGAAGCACAAGGAGCAACGTGCTCTGTGGCGGCTGCTGGACCCGGGGCCCAGACACATCTGTCACCCCTCTCCCTCTCCAGGCACCTGCGCTGCTCACACTTCTCTGAAGACACCGGCACATTCCTGCCTCCTTCCCTTTGCTCACATTGCATCTCTCGTCTGAAGTTTACATCCTCCAAGTCGGCCTCAGGCAACTACGTAACAGCCACCCTTTCACCCAATAGCAGTTAATACTTAAAAATAATGAACACTGTGGACGAAAGGGGCCACACGCTGACCTGACAGCTCAGGGGAGGCCTGCATGGTGGTCTTGCAAACTCAGACCTACAGTCACCACAGGATGGTCTGAAATTAAACTTTAAAAGCAGTGATGGTGGGTAGTTACATCCTAGGCCACTATCTTCACTGACAAAGTCAACCTTTACCTTCACTGAGCCTGTCTGTCTTTTTGCATCTAAGATAACATACCCTTGAAATGTCTGGGTAACTTGTAACCTCCCTTTTTCCGGACCCCTTGGGCCACAACCTAATATGCTAGGCGCCAGGACAGAGACCACAGATTCCTTCATTATCGTGTTAATTGATCCTGCGCCCACCTAAGCATGTGTCCATCATTTTACTTCTTATCCAATCCCAGGGCCCCCCCTTTCCTTTCTCCCGCCCCTCTAGTCTATCACCAGTGGATTTCATGTAACCCACCCACCTACGTCCCTCCTTCGATTACAAAGTATAAAAATAGAGGAGCACCCGCCATTCTCTGGGGCATTATCTCAGTCCATTGCTTCCCGGCAATTGTCGACAGTTTGGCTCAAATAAACTCAAAATTTCTTTACAGGCCTGAATGTTTTTTCACGTTAACAGCACGATAGCAGTTCAACGACCTAAACTCCTTCCAACCGCAGCCACGCCCCAGCCACTCCAGACTCCTCACCTCCGCCTGAGCCGGTGCGGCGCGGAGGGACAGGCCCTGAAGCACACGGGCTGGCGCGGCAGGCTCCGGGGAGGGTATATCCTAGCGGCGGGACAGGGAATGCCCACGGCGCGGGGAAACCAGGGCGCCAGACGAGGCCAGAAAGGCCCCGGCGCAGGGCTCAGGCCCGGCGGCCGGAGACGCTCGGCGGACCCGGACCGGCCACAGGGGCGCGAGGCCCGCCCACCCTGCCCCAGCCCCAGAGCTCCCACCGACCTCTCACCAGGCCGACCTCACACCCTCGCGCGGCTGCTCGCCGCCCCAGCCCCAGAGCTCCCACCGACCTCTCACCAGGCCGACCTCATACCCTCGCGCGGCTGCTCGCTGCTCCAGCTCCGGAGCTCCCGCCGACCTCACACCCTCGCGGAGCCGCTCGCCGCCCCAGCCCCAGAGCTCCCCACCGACCTCACACCCTCGCGCGGCTGCTCGCTGCTCCAGCTCCGGGGACGCCACAGGCACGCGCAGGACCCAGGAAGTTCCGGGGGAGGCAGCCAATTAAACTTCCTCTCCCAGGTCGCGGTTCCGCCCACCGAGCAGAGCCCCGCCTAAAAAGCGAAGGCCTATTCGTGACTCGGCCAGAACACAGAGGCAAGCCCCGCCCATGGAACGTAGCCACGCCCACAGAACGTAGCCCCCACTCACCGAGGTTGGTAGCGCCCCACACAAAGCCCCGCCCACCGCACGTCCTGGACGTGGTTCCGCCCTGGAGCAGGTTCCCGCCCCTGACGTAGTCCCGCCCACAGGGCTCTTGTTTCTGAGCGCAGCGACGCCCCGCCCTCCGCTGGAAGTCCCGCCCATCGTGCGAAGTCCCGCCCTCTACAGGAAGTCCGGTCCCCAGCGTCTAAACACCATTAGTCACCGAGCCGAGAGGACGTCATCCGAGTGGTCGCCCTGGGCCTCTGCCTTCGGCCCCAGGAGGGGGCGCTCGCACCCTGGCTGGCGTCCACGCGCGAGGAGCCCCAGTCCTTTCCGCAGGGTGTTTCCTTGCTTCACAGCCGCGTGTGGCCGAGGCGGGGCGCAGGGCCACGGGAAGATGTTGCCAGGGGAGTATCGGCAGCCTCAGCGGCGCAGCGGGCGCACCCCTGCTTCCGGCGCCCGCGTGCACCCCTGTCCAGGTCTGGAGGCTCACCGTCCAGGAAAGTACCCCCGGCTTCCGAGAGCGTCCCTCGCGAGAGCAAGTGGCCACGTGTTTCGCTGCTTCCCTCGCGGACGCCCAGGTGCCGGCCTTTCCACCCGCTCTCCTTGCAAACGGCGAGGCCTGGCCGCGCGGGAGTGACGGCGGCGCCCCACGTGGGTCGCGGGCTTCAGCTGTTCACGTTGGGCAGCCTCAGGAATGGGAGGCAAAGAGATCGAATCCCCACATGGCGCCAGCTCCATAAGTCAACACTCCGCACAGATAACCACGAGAAGACATTGCTGTGGTCAGTCAGCCCCGCTGCGCCGATCCCGGCGCGATGGGGGCGGGCGTGGGCGCTGCTGCACTCGATGCCCACGCCTGTGTGCCCGCCTGCCATGTCCCTGCACCCCGCCGGGCGCCTTATGTCCCCCCTGTTTCCCCAGGGTCCCGCAGCTCCGGTGCCAGGAGCTGTGGTTTGACATTTGCTCGGCGACGAGAAATCCCCTGAGGGTCAAAAGCAGGGCTTGTGGCCGGGCACTGTCCTCTGATGAGCAGATACCTAGAGGAGCACTTCTTATCTCTGCTCCACAAATCTGTTTTCCACTGAAGGAAGCAGGCTTTATCCAGAGTAATCTGGCCAGATGCCTGGAAGTCCCAAACCTGACCGTAGCAAATAGCCGAAGGTTGAGAAAGTGCAGCGCTATCACAGAGGCCATAAAAGCACCGAAGGTACGTGAAGTCCTTCCGCGGTTTTTATGGTTCTTGGTTAAAATGCAAGTAATAGTGTAAAACGACAGGACTTGCGACAGCAGGTGCGTGTTTAAAACCCAGAAGACTGCAAAGGAGGACGTGTGTTACTAAACTAGAACGTGACTCTGAATCCCAGCGGTGTTTGAAGAAAAAATGAAAGGATGCTGTGCTTTGTAAGGATCAAGTTCAGTTGATGAGCAGTGATTCCGTTTTTCAGTTGAAATTGTTGTCTGCACAGACGCAGTCAACAGTTTTTTGCTTAGAACAACTCCATTGTGCTGGAATTTGGCTAAGAATTGCATGGCTGTCTATACTATGATAAATACAACCAAAAACAAACGTTGGGCTCCTTAAAAACTCATTTTTTTCCGTTTCCTATTAGAATGTCATGCAGAGTCGTAGACATTTGGGAAACTGAGAAAAGCATAAAGAAGTGCACACCAGTGATGACGGCTCTGATCTAGCTCCCCATCATCTTTGTCTTACCTGGATATTGTCACAGCTTCCTGGCTGCTCCCCCTGCCTTAATCTCTCCCCAGCCCAGCAGCCAGAGGAATCCTGCTGAAATGGTGATCACATCATGTCGTCCTCCGAATTTCCATGTTCCCACTTCACCCAGAATAAAAGCCAGAGCACTTACAAGGCCCTGTGCCCCGCTCAGACCCCCCTGACCAACACTGCTTTCTCACTGCCCTGTAATCATGGCCCCTAAATGTCTCCTCCCTCACCTCTCAGGTCTTATTTCAAATGGTGTCTTTTCAGAGAGGCCTTCATGCCCACCTCTGTACAGTCAGGGGCCCTCTTCTCTGCTGTGCCGTCATCCCATATACTAGAGTTTATCTTGTTTATTATCTGTCTTCTCCATAAAGGCAGAGCTTTCTATCTGGTTTTGTTTGCAGATGTCTTTGTTTTCTAAAGCATAACCAATCACCCCAAAATTTAGTTGCTCAAAACAAGAGTCCTCATTTATTATCTCACATTTCAGTGGGGGTGGACTTTGTGGGGGGCATGGTTGCATGTGTCTGGCTCCGGTCTTTCAGGTACCCTGAATCCTCTCCAGGAGGACATCTCTGCAGGGCTGGGTGTCCCCATGATGAGGAAGCTGACGGCCCCCAGACAGAGGGTTCGAAGAAACAAAGGCAGACACGGCAATGGCTCTCATGACCCGTACTCAGAAGTCACACACTGTTGCTCTGCCAGTCCGTTCAGTGAGGAAGGAGATGCCCTGAGGGGCTGGCTCAGCAACTGCTCCGTCCCCTGTGCCCAAAACTGCCAGCACAAATGTTTGGACAATGAATAGATTCCAGCCCTCATATTTTTAAAATATATTTTCAGCCTTTTTTCTAAGCAAATACACTATTTTCTTAATTAAAAAATCAGAGTATCTCTCTAGATAAAAATTTATAAATATAAGCATGTTAACTATATTTTAAATGTAATATTTAATGTTTTTCTAAAATTACATCTTTTGACTATATAATAAGTTATTTCAACTCCTCATTAGCATTTCTGTCTCTAGATTTTTTTCTGCTATAAATGCATTGTGATGAGCATCCTTTTGCATAGCTCTTTGAGGGCATCCCCTAATGTGTTCTTGGGGAATAAGACCTAAGGTTGTGAACACTTACAATGCACCAGTAGAGTGACATTGACTGACTTATTGCAAGGCGAGGAACCATTAGCTAAATTCTTTGATAGCGGGGTTATTTTGAGCTCAATTATCTGGACATTTCAGCATTGATCTAATGAGAGGAAGCAGAAGACCAGAAATGTAGAAAGTAGGGTTTTAGCAGCTTATTCTTGTCTGACAATAGAGGACAAAACTTCTGCCTCTAGTTTCTGAAAGCTGGAATCTGAGAAGTGGCCTGAGCGGTGATTCACTGGAGAATTCTCCCTCTGGCATGAACCTGGGCCAGCAGGTACCTCAGTGCCCATGGGCTCTGCAATCTCCTGGCACGGTCTCTCTCTCCTGGGCAACTTGCACTGTGCACCCCCCACCGCAGGGCAACCTCAGGAATGGGAGGTAAAGAAATCGAAACTCCATGTAGCGCCAGCTCCATAAATCAACACTCTCCACACAGAGATAACCAGCGATAAGACATTCCTGTGGTTAATAAGCCCCAGCTGCGCAAATCACGGTGCGATGGGGGCGGGCGTGGGCTCTGCGGAGAGCACCTTGGACTTGGGACTGCACGCTGGGCTGTGTCCCACCGGGAGCTGGGCTCTCTGTAACAGGAGTCTTGCTCCTGACTTTCCTGCTCAGTAAAATCAGAGGGAAACAGCCGCTTGGGTTCACATTTAGGCTTTCTAAAAAGAGCACTTGGAAAACTGTGCATCTCAGAGAGTCTGTGCATACGTTCTAATAAAACAGCATCAATTCATCCAGGGTCGACAACACCATTTTGTTTTTCCCTTGGTATGTTACTACACTTCCCTAGGTATCTCTATGGCTAGGGTTACACTTACGAGTGCTGCTCGGAACCTGAGGTGTTGACGCCATGAAGAGCCTACTAAGACTGGTTGCTGCAGGGAAGGCTAGACTGGATCCAGCTGGTTCAAGAGTGAAGTGGAGCCCTGGCTGGTTTGGCTCAGTGGATGGAGCGTCGGCCTACGGACTCAGGGGTCCCCGGTTCGATTCCGGTCAGGGGCATGTGCCTTGGTTGCGGGCACATCCCCAGTGGGGAGTTTGCAGGAGGCGGCTGATCGATGTTTCTCTCTCATCGATGTTTCTAACTCTCTGTCCCTCTCCCTTCCTCTCTGTAAAAGATCAATAAAAAATATATATTAAAAAAAAAAAGAGTGAAGTGGAGATGATGACCGTGGCCTTGGTCAGGATTCCTGGGTTTACTGGTCAGTATTAATCTTCCACTTATTTGTACTTGACGGTCGTGAACCTGGAGACAGAGGCTCTCTATTAAGGAAAACACCCACAAATAGTTGTAAAGGGTTAATTAGCAAGTTAATGGGGTCATTGACTCCAGAATTTTTTGAAAATTTTAACATGTACAGGAAAATGGAAAGAATAGTCTAATGAGCACCCAAACATTCTTCAGCCAGATCCACCAATTACTGCCAGACACGTGAGAGTCAGTTGCAGGCAGCAGGTACTTTAGCCCCACGGCATCAGCCTTCATCTACAGTCTTCCCATCACATCATCGCACAGACAAACATTAACATCGGTTCTGAGACCACCTACATGCTGTCGTGTCCACATCTGTCCTATTGACTGGAAGATTCTATTTCTGCTGTTTTTCCCAATGTAGGACCTTAGGCTTACCCATTGTGTTAGGTTTTTACGTATCTTTTGTCTCCGAATCCTAGGCTGTGTAAATATCCTGTTCCCCCATAACCTTTTGTCCAGAAGTTCTAGCTCCCATGATTGACCTGTGCCTGAACCAGATATTACATTGGCCTTGCAAAAATGGCTTTAAAATTCTGTCATCCCATCTGTAGTTAGTAGCTAGCATTCTCTCAGAGAGAAGCATTTTTCTCTCTCCCCCTGCCCCCATGGGTAATTTGAGGGAAGGAGATTGTAATCTGCCACTATTATTCTTTCTGATGGCCAATTGTCCCAAACTTGGCATAGGACCTCCTACAAGCTAGGTCCTGTGTGTGTTGTGTATTTTATATGACCCAGTTAGTTTTTTGTGAGTTTACTTTGTTTTTTTTCTGAAATCTTTTTTTTTTTAAGAGTAACTTTAGGTTCACAGCAAAATTGAGAGGAAAGTATTAGGCATTTCCCATATACCTCCTGCCCCTACAAAAGCAGAGCCTCCTCCATTATCAACACTCACCAAAGGGTACATTAGTTACAAATGATTAACCTACATTGACACCTCATTATCAACCAAAGTCCAGTTTACCTTAGGGCTCACTCTCAGTGTCTGTCTGTTCTATGGGCTTAGAAAATGTATATTGACATGCATCCATCATTGTGGTATCACACAGAGTATTTTCTCTGCCCTGGAATCCTCTGTGTTCCATCTATTCCTGACCCCCCAGCCCCTGACAACCACTGATCTCTTTCTGTCTCCATGGCTTTGCCTTTTCCAGAAGGTCATAGAGGTGGAATCATGAGTGTAGTCTTTTCAGGAGGCCTTATTTCACTTAGTGAAATGCATTGAAGTTTCTTCCATGTCTGTTCAGGGCTTGACAGCTCATTTATTTTTAATGCTGAGCCATAGCCCATTGTCTGGATATTTATCTTCCCCCTGTTTGCTTATCCATTCACCTACTGAAGGATGTCTTGGTTGTTTTGAAGATTTGGCAGTTAGGAATAAAGCTGGTATAAGCATCAAGTGCGGGTTTTTGTGTGGACATAGTTTTTAGCTCCTTTAGATAAATACCAAGGAACATGACACTGGGTCCTGTGGGAAGAGTATGTTTAATTTTGTAAGAAACTGCCAAACTATCTTCCAAGGAGGCTGCACCATTTTGCATTCCCACGAGCAGTGAATGAGAGTTCTTGTTGCTCCACATCCACGCCTGCACTTGGTGTTGTCTGTGTCCCGGATTTTCGCCACTAATAGGTGTGGAATGGGCTGCTTCATTAGCTCCTCTGATGACATCAGCATGGAGCATCTTCCATGTGCTTATTTGCCATCTGTACATCTTTGATGAGTTTCAACCCCTTTTTAAATCAGGTTGTTTGCTTTCTTATTGATAAGTTTTAAGCGTTTTTTGTGTATTTTGGATAACAGTCCTTTTGTATATGTGTATTTAAATACAAATATGTATACACATACACTGTCTTCTGTGATGAAAGTGAATATAAATCAGACCTATTCCTAAAGATGTGGCTCTCGTTATATTGGCACAACTGAACCCGCCTGTGCCACAGAGCGTGGGGGGGGAAGCCCGGGTCTCCTGATGCAAGAAGAGCATGCAGTTCACTGCGCTCAGCGCCCTGGGAAAACCTGCTCTGCTGCCACCCCCTGAGCAGGACAGGCGCGGAAGGGACAGGCTGCCCTGCGGCGGCAGGTGCGCTCTACAGAAGCTTCAAACCTGTCCTCACTCAGTGTTTCTAACCCATGTGGCTACCAGAGAAGGACTTTCTGGGACGTGCAGGCATCACATTGTGCAGCTCCCGGAAAGATGATCTCCAGGCATCCACGCCTCCGTCTTTCCGGAAGGTTCCTGCCATCAAAAAGCTCTTGGCACTAGTCTGTCCTTAAGTGACACTGCACAGTTCAGGGTGAAATTTCAAATGGACCCAACGCTCAGCCTCAGCAGCTGGGACAGTGATTACAATCCTGTGGTTACAGGCGTCTGTTTTCAAGCCCCCCCCCCCCCCCCGCCGCCCTTCAGGGCAGGGCACCAGCACCCAGGGGGCTCCTCACCCTCTCTGCGGGGTGGCAACTGCAGAACTTGGGGACCAAGGCACCCGGGCCACAACCTTCAGAGGGGGGCCGAGAGCCGGGTTGAGGGGGTGGGGGCCTCATGGCCCGCCCTCTGCCTGGCTACTCTTTGATCCCTACACTGGAAAAAGAAGTAGGTAACTGCAGTCCACCTTTTCTCAATGCTTTTGAGGATTCCTTCAGCAGCATCCTCACCACAGAAGACCCCAGCCAACTGACAGTGAACTCATTAAATTCAAATGCCACCATAAACACAGATTTTGGTGATGAATTTTATTCTGCTTTCGTAGAGGAGCCCAGTATCAACAACAGCATGTCTTCCTCGGCTACTTTCAGCCAGTCACTCTCTGAACTTCTCTGTGGGCCCATTGATGTTTCTGATCTATCACTTTGTAAAGCCTTCAATCCTGAAAGCACAGCAGAATTCAATGATTCTGACTCTGGCATTTCACCGAACACAAGCCCCAGCATGGCATCACCAGAACACTCAGTGGAATCTTCTGGCTATGGAGACACACCACTTGGCTTTAGTGATTCTGAAATGGAAGAGACTGACAGTGCCGCTGGCAGTGTCAAACACAGTGGTCCTAAAACACAGCCAGTTCAGACTTCTGGGGAGACCGTTCACCCCCCGTCACCATCTCGGGGGCACAGTGCCCCAG